TCGCTACTTGCTCCGCGTCCAGATGTAGACTCGCATTTCGTGCAAGTCTGGTCTTTTTCCAGGTTTATTGTCATGTCGCTGTTATCTTCCGTCTCGGCGTTCAGTCTTTTAGGGAGGGGGGGCGTTATCAGAGCATGGAGCCAGACAAAAGCGGCATCGTGTTATTACCTCTCAGTCATGCAATTCAACCTTTCTCACTCGCATGGTCTCGATTTTGCGCGTTATTGTGTGATGCTACTCCCACAGCCGTCGAATGTATTGAATCATTGAAAAAACAAGCATGGTATATTCGTCGTTAATCAAATACAAGCATTGCATAAGGCTGCTATACACATAGAGGCAGATCATCAAACACCAAGTCAAGACAAAACGACGGACTCTACTCGCGTCCACCGACCCTCCTCTCATAGTCGTCTTCGAGCCTGGAAGCATCGACAACTTCGACACCCTTGCCGAGACCGATCATATCGCTGCGAACCTGCCACCACCTGACGGTATGCTCACTTTCCTTGCCCTTTTGCATAGGGCCCTCGTCGTCCGTGTCTACAAGCCCGCCGAGACCAGTACCATCAGCGCCAACAACGACGATGGTCTGTGCGACCCACTTGCGTAGGTCCTCGATGTTCTGACCGTTCACACCGCTCAATGCGTCGACTACGTAAACAAGTTCAGGTCCGAGGTGTCTGAGCATATGCACGAATCCTGTGGTGGTGTTGAAAGGCATGACCATGGCAGGGTCCTCGACTAGACGGAGCGCTTGCGAGTGGAGAGTGTTCCAGAGTGTATTGTCAGACCCCCGAGTGCTTGGTGCTGGCGTGTAGACAACTGGCTCAATGGAAGATAGTTCCTCGCCCGGTGTGCGTGCAGGTGTGCTGATGGCAGAGTATGAGTCGCCAAGCGAAGACGATCCAGTGCGAGAGTTGGATCGGGATTGTGGGCGCGAGCGCAGGGATGGGGAGTAAATAAGTACGAAGAGCTTGGTCCTGGAGAAGTCGGTGTCGGGGAGGTGGGAGAGGATGGTCTGCAAGCTGTCAGTTTTTGAAGTGCGACAAGGGATACGGTATGGGGAACTTACAGCGTTCTCTTCACGGTACGAGCCCTCATCATCATCAACTCTGTCCATCAGGCTCTCGGCGCTGACGACCAGTACCACCGTCTTCCTCTTTCCGCTGTATTCGCCCCTCCCTTCAGCTTTGCGCACACTGGCCGCAAAGCTCCGTGCCTGCGCATCCACCGCAGCATTGCTATCTCGACTCTGGGCCTCGACATTCCTCCTGATAGTGGCCTCCTCGCTCCATCGCGAGTGATCGCCAAAAGCCTCGTCTTTGTCTTCTTCGCGAATCGAAGCAAGCGCCGCACCAGCAGCTGCACCTGCGGCTGCCCAACCCGCCGCCGTCTTCTTACTCACAGTATCGAACAGTTGCTGTGGCGATGGCGTGCGTCTGATGACGCCTTGTGCGCGACCAAGCAGTGTGCTGTCGCCGCCCCCATATCCATAGCCTTCACCGCCTCCCTCCCCTACGGGAAATCCAGATGCATCGCGTGCTGCAGGTGCCCTGCCTTGTCGCTTCTCAGTCGAGTCTTCGCCATAGGACAAGTCGTCGTCGGACGAGTAATCCCGACTATCCTCGCGCGCACTCCATACCCAGGCTGCAAGACCTGCGGTCGCGACTGTCACGGTGAGGATCAGAGGAACGTAGAAGCCGAGGGCGCTGCGGTTGCGCGAGTTGTTCTGGCGACGGTCGTAGCGGTCGTAGTTGAAAGAAGACATTGTGGCGTTTATGTCATGATAATTCGTCGATGTTTCGTGGCGGGTCAAACGCTGTCAGGAGTATGAGATTATTGTTTTGGTCGTCAGCCGCTGCCGCTCGGCTCCAGGGCAGCTTCCCTGTTGTTGACGCCCGCCGGTGGCTGGGGGGAGCTGATGCGCATGCTTGACACGTGCGTGCCTGCCGAGGCGAGAGTGTGCGAGTCAGTCTGTGAACTTTTGGCGGCGGGGTGACTCTTACACCCCACACGCACGTCTTTGTACCTGCAGCTACGCCCGGCGGACGCCAATACCGTCACACAAAAGACGAAGCAAGTCATCCGCTTCACACCACCAGGCCCGAACCGGCAGTCTATACATCCCAGACCCGTGTATACGTCGCGGCAACCACCTTTCATTCTCACAATGCCTCACGCGACGAGTCTTCCCGCTCCAGGCTTCCAGGCTCTCATCCTGTGCGGGCCTGGAGCCTCCTTCAGCACTTTCACATCTACGCCAAAGGAGATACCAAAGGCCTTGTTGCCCATTGCGAACAGGCCCATGGTCTGGTACCCCCTAGAATGGTGCTACCGCATGGGAGTCACAGGTAGAACATGGCGCGTATCCTCTTTCTGTAATCTCTACTCTAACAGGCTGCAGACATCACAGTCGTGACACCGCCAGAGTCATTAGAAGCCATCGAGGCTGCCATGTCGCAGAACCCACACCTTACAACCCTCCCTTCACCAAAACCAGACATCCTTGCGCCAAAAGATCTTTCACACCAGACTAGTACTGGCGACCTCTTTAGGCTACCGGAACTACAGAACGCGATCAAAGGCGACTTCATCGTACTTCCGTGCGATCTCGTATGTGAGTTGGACGGCACAGCACTTGCAGACGCATGGATGGTCGAGCAGGGTGGCTTTGCTGGAGCCAGTGGTGGACTAGATCATAACGGCGGCAAGATCGCATTCGGTGCTGGTGGTGAGAAGCTTGGACGAAGAGGCGGCATGGGTGTATGGTATCAGACCAAGGGAGAGGGAAGCAGGAAGAAGGAAGAAACAGACTTCATTGCGACAACACCACTACCCACACCCATCGTCCCAGTTCCAACAGACTCGCTACGCCGCAATATCTCGAAGCTCGTGTACTCAGTACCTACCGATACTCTGAACGACATAACCGAAGAGAACAAAACATTTCCTCTGCGGCATTCGCTCATTCGCAAGCACGCGCGGATAAGGATGCTTACGACACACCGCGATGCACATATATACATCTTCCCATACTGGGTCATGGAGATGATCAAGAAGAACGAGAAATTCGAGAGCATCAGCGAGGAAGTATTAGGATGGTGGGCAAAAGCAGGCTGGCAAGAAGGGCTCGGAGATAAATTAGGTCTGCGGCAAATACTGCAGGGCGAGGACGAAGAGTCGGATCACGGCTCGCAAGTCGTCGAAGAAGAGATCGATGTTTCCAGGTTCAGCACCACATACTCGGATAGCAACACAGAGTCAGAAACATCGGCACCCACCACACTCGCATCACGAGTCACAAAATCCTCCAGCATACCCAACTCGGCCAAATCACTCACCTCAAATTCTAAACTCACAGTACCACCAATCCTAGCCTATGTCCAACCCTCAGGCCCGAACGAACCGCTTATCCGCCGCGTAGACGACTCGCATCTGCTCCTAACCGTCTCCCTCCGCCTCGCCAAGCTCCCCTCAATCGAAGAAGTCTCCAAGGAACTTGCATCGCCATTCGCGCACCAGTCTAAGATTGTCCACAAAGAATCCATACCCCGGAAATGCCGCGTAGAGGCCGAGAACTCGTTACTTGCAGACAACGTTATTGTAGAAGAGAAGACCAACATCAAGGAAAGCGTTATTGGACCGAATTGCAAGATCAGTGAAGGCGCGAGACTGTTACGCTGTCTCTTGATGGATGGTGTGGAGGTTGGGCCTAATGTACAGCTTACGGATTGTATCTTGGGAAGGAGGTGTAGGATGGAAGGTGGAGATGCAAAGGATGGCGACAAGACTGTTCTCAAGGACTGTGAAGTTCAGGATGGGCAGGTTGTGGAGTGGGGTAGTAAGTTTCACTTGACCTTTTATGTGGAGAGAGCGGTGCTAACGATTATGCAGCTGAAGCGAAGAACGAGAAGTTTATGCGCTTTGACGTGGGTGACGATGTGGGAAGTGAGGGGTTCGGCGGAGACGAAATGGATGTCATGGATGGTGAAGATGGCGAAGGTATCCCGCTGCGGTAAAATCGCTGCCGAAACAAACGGGAGTAGCGTACATGACGATTACGAGCACACGATCTCAAGACGAGCTTATCTGAATGGAACAGATGTGACTTTGGCTGAACGCAAGACATGTAAACTGTTACTTCTCGTATCAATTTCAATTTTCTGGCTGGCCAAGTACGTCCTGATATCTTCTATCCGTTGTTTCGCTGTATGTTCGGCTGATATTCTAGTCTCGAGGAAGACAAATGCAGAGTTCACTGAACGTTCTCACACTATTTCGAGAGCGTATCGCAGGATTTCCACTGCAGTCAATCCTATTGGCGGTCGTGGTCAAGAAGTGTTTGCTATGTTGATGTCACAGCAGCTTGGCATCGCAGACGACCGCGTCTTCCAAGCTTATTATCTCTCGTCGCTGTCTCGTCCTCTTTAATGTATCGCTTTCTTCGACCCCATCTTGTTCTAATACTCTTCGTCTTTCTTGGGCCCTCTCATTATATCCGATAGCCTGGCTCTCATTCACCATGCCTCAGATCAAGCGCGGACACGATAAAGCTGCTCTACTACAGCACCTGTGTAGCGACTGTAAGGGCACTCCCCCTTCCAGAATGGATTGCAAGAACCTTGAGAAGCTCATGTGCTTCTCCTGCTCAAGGCAAGCCCATTACAGCAGCGAATGCAATGATACGATACGCAACGGCACCCCGTCACTGAATAAGACGCCCGTACCACGCAAGAAAGTCCAAACACAAATTGATGAGTTGAAAACTTACTGCAATTACAGTCTACGTCTGTTGGGATCCTGCGGCTTCGTGGAGCACGCCGATACCCTTGAAACACACAAGTCTGACCCACACGGGCTGAGAGAACCCTGGGAAGGAAGCATGCCGGACTTGCAACCCACATATTACTATTCATCTCGTAAATTAACAAGACTGAAGCAGCAGCTCGATGCATGAAGAAGGTTTTGCCTCGAAATCTATGAAAAAATCGAACAAGATGGTCTTGCAGAAGCGGGTATGACAGTCTATTTAAGTCTTCTCATATTTCTCACGTTGCCATATACTGATCTTTATCCATAGCAATGGATCCTTCTGTTCGCTGGCATATCGATCGAGAAATTCGGCAAGAAAGTTCTGTCCAAGATCCCTACGACCGTCCCTGCCACATCTTCATCAGTGAAGGCCTTCCTTGAGCGCATGCACCATGACATCAAAACCATGGGTGCAATGCGAGGCGAAACGCTCTATTGGAGATACACCATAGCAATAAAGCTTATCCACACTGCCGTCCGATGGAGAGTGGCCGATTCCAATGATGAGCAAGAAATTCCACTAGTTGGATATGAAGATATAGAGAAGGATACGCTAGACCATTTCAAATTGCTTGACAAGCAATTTCAGAAAATACTTGAGACGGGGTTGATTAAGAAGGGGACTTTGCCGTATGATCGGACCCTGTGTATGTTGGAGACGCATCAAGTGACGGATTTGTATGCTGTTTCTTGGAAATGGCTCAGGGAGATAGTTTACGAAGAGTGTGAGGATGTTGTGCTTCGAGGTGTAAATAATACAGCATTTGCACAGAAGAAGGGAGAAAAGAATGGTGAAGCCAAAGGACGGACTGTGAAGAGAAGGAAACTCATTAGATAACCGATCATTAAGATAATCAGTGGGATCGAAGCACTGGGTGAGCTACAACAAGAGGAGCTTATCACGCGGTTGAGTGAATGAGATGACGACGATGGCTCAAATCCTGCGCTAGCGCCACTTTGTTTCTGACTACCTGCACCACAGAACTTACCTAACTGCACCCTATGCATGCTAGCTTTCTTCCGGGTCTCCGGTCGGCTTTTACTTCGAGATAGAAATTAAGCTATGTCTTACGAATACAAGGTCAAGTTGTCTCCGCTAGGCTGCCCGGCACGACTTACCCAATGCGGACAAATATCACGGCGAGGAGAAGAAGGGGTAGACAGCAATCAGTACTCAACAGAGCCATAGTAATCGCCGGTCAGTGCTTTCCTCGTACTGTTGCACATAGTTCAATAATCTTTAAATATCCAACAGTCCGTTCCTAAGTTTTCCGATCACAGCATCTAATAGAATATCTCACATCACCAACCAGTAAGTCGATGCATTGCTTCGGAATCTGGAGCTTGATTTGAGAGACACTTACTCACCAACTGCATAGTGTCTCAGAAATACGTACCTCTTACCATCATCAAAGGCGCAGGCCAGGAGTACATCCCCATCCCAGATGGCGAGAGCGCAATGGTCGCAGACTTCCACTCGTACGTCGACCGCATCATATTCACCTCTACATCTCTCCACCCTCGAATTCCTACCATGACATTTTCTCATCTCCACTAGCATCCGAACTCAAACCACCGACTCTCCCACCTACATAACGTCTGGCTTCTACCGCGTTCAAGCGGGCCCCGTACGCGACATCCCTCAATTTGAATCTGAAGAGTCCAAATACGTTCTCAACGGCCAAATCGACGTCTTGGACGAGGCAACAGGTATCATGCATCACCTTGTTGCAGGCGACTTTGCTTTCTTCCACAAAGGGTCAAAGGCGCAGTTTTCAACAAAGTCCGGAGGCACAGCGTTTTTCGTTGTGACTAGACCAATCGTCGCTCAACACCCTGGGCTGAAGGGCAGGGAGGAGAAGGTGCAGTCGAAACTATAGGCTGGTCGACCTGTGTTTTTTCCGAGCGCAATAGAAAGTAAGCGAGAAGCATAATTGTTCATCATGGGTAAAGGGAACCCAACGGAACGTTATCGATGTATTTAATGACCTACGTATGAAGTCTTGATGAAAAATAGACTAAATTCCCAAAATCATCCTGGCGCTGCTTCGTGAGATGGGTGACTCCAGGAGTGAGATGTTCGGCGCATATCTTATGCTGGTAGACAGAGAGTGACAATCCCGAGATATCTCCAGAAGACCATCGTCGCGGGGCTGGCGTGCCGCTAACGTCATCTGGATGGACCCTTCGATCTCGACATTTACATGTGGGCGCCACCATCTCAACCCATGCATCGTTTATTCTCAACACCACGAGGATGGCGCAGTCGCCTCTAACCGGCGTCATGATGCCTCCACGCTTCAATATCGAGCTGGACCGGACAGATCCGGATGTGCCCTTCCGCGCATCTCAGTCGCACATTCACCACACATGGGCGCGGACGTTCCATTCGCGGCCAGAGCTCTATGTCCGACCGCAGAGTCTCCAGGAGGTGCAGAAGGTTGTGAATCTCGCAAGACGCATGCGAAGACGCGTCGTCACTGTGGGATGTGGACATTCACCCTCGGACATAACGTGCACGTCGGCGTGGATGATCAACCTCGACGACTACAAGCAGGTGTTGAGCGTGGACAAGGAGCGCAAGACCATGACCGTGCAGGCTGGAATACGCCTTCATAATCTCAACTTGCAGGCAAAGAGCCACGGCCTGACAATGCCCAACCTCGGTTCCATCGACGACCAGTCGCTCGCCGGAGCGATTGCGACAGCGACACACGGCAGTTCATACAGCCACGGCCTTCTCTCCGACCGCGTTCAGAGTCTCCGTATTGTGTTGGCCAACGGCCAGGCGGTACGATGCTCGCCCCAGCAATCCCCAGACCTCTTCCGAGCGGCCCTGGTATCGTTAGGCGCACTGGGCATCATTGTCGAAATCGAGTTTCAGATGATCGAAGCGAACAACGTCGAATGGGTTCAGACTATACGGCCGATTGAAGACGTTTTGGCAGATTGGAACAACGGGCTTTGGACATCGAACGAGTTTACAAGAGTGTGGTGGCTGCCCTACATGAAGCGCGCAGTCGTATGGCGGGCAGACAAGACAGACAAGGAGCACCGCCAGCCAGAATATAACTGGTATGGCGGCAGCGTCGGTTTCCACACGTATCACATTCTCCTCTGGATATCGCAGTATGTCCCGCGCTTCCTGCCTTGGGTAGAGTGGTTCGTCTTCGGCATGCAATACGGCTTCAAAGATGGTGCTGTCATCTCTGCAGTTGGCGAGCAGCGTACTGAACTCTTGATGAATTGCCTTTACTCCCAGTTTGTCAACGAATGGAGCATCCCTCTTGACAAGGGCCCCGAGGCTCTGACACGACTGACAAACTGGCTTCACGGCGACGAACAATCTTCTGGTATCCCTTTCAGCACAAAAGGCCTCTATGTCCACTCTCCCATCGAGGTCCGTATCGCAAACACCGTCAATCGTGAACCACGTCCGTTCCTCGATACTTCATATCCTGATCAACCCGCCCTGTACCTCAACGCTACCCTGTACCGCCCCTACGGTCAAGATCCACCCTGTCGCGAACGCTACTACCAGGCCTTCGAACACCTGATGAAGGAGTACAACGGCCGACCCCACTGGGCTAAGAACTTCCAATCCGTTGACAACGCTTACCTCTCTTCCGTTTACGGTAACGACTTGGACGAATACATGCGCGTACGCAATGAAGTAGACCCCGAAGGCATGTTCCTTGGTGCCTGGCACCGCCGAACCATCCTCCCATCCAAAACCGATCTTCCCCTTTTGCCCCTCGAGGAAAAGGAAGTCATACGCCGCGACAGACGCACTGGTGGTGTAGACTGGATCGGAGAGCAAGGCCGGTTCGATGGCGGTCTTGATGTGTTTGAGAAGGCGGGTAGTGAAAGTGAGTCTGGAGAGAGTTTTGATTACATGGCAGGCGCAGAGGCGGAGAGTAGTGTGCTTTTGGAGGGGTTGAGTGATGAGCTTGTTGTTACCGAGGAAAGTTATGAGAGCCATACCGAGTCGAGGCGAAGAGAGGGAACTGAGGAGTACATTACGGGGACGAACGTCTTCAACAAGATGTAAATGTATATAAGAAGAGGGAAATCATGCGACATGAATGATGGGGAGAAACGCTACTCAATGAAGATATGATCGTGCTGTGTCATTGTTGCAATACTTGCAAATGTTTAGTGTTCTGTATTACATTAACTACCAATGTTGCGCAATGTGCTGTAGGGTAACACTCTTGGGAATGTGCAGGGAGGCTTTCGACCCAAACGTGGCCAATCGGGTAAAGTGTACACACACGTCAACATTCCGAATTGCGACTTCCCCTCCACCGGTTTCCACTCGTCTTCTCTCCCTCACTCCGCGAGAACGGAAAACATGCCATTGTGTCTTCTGGAAGCCCAATTTTGTATGGCAATGGTCTTTGGTTCACTTGCGCGTCACCGCAGGGCGGATATGGGGTAAATCCTCGTCGACAAACCGCGTACGCGTACTAGTGAGAACAAAGAGGCGGAAGTGGCAGATGTGTGCAAAGTCATCCTGATTCCATCTACTCATGATGATAGGTGTCTTTGTCCTCCAGGAACACCGGAGTCATGCATACCCGCCTATGCTATCTCATTGCGACGATCCAGACAAAAGACGCGACTGACGGAAACCTCGACCTCTTTCACCATCACAGCAATCAACGACAGTATCACAAGCGAATGTTGAATGAGCAACAAGTTCGCTGGAGACGTCAAGGCAGAAAGCGGCATCGTCACTGACTGATGGGCGCGGCTTGAGTCTGCAATACTTTGTTAGAGTTGCTGTGTTTTATGGCTACTCAACTACCAATATCCCAATGGCAAGGTCATCATTCATGGAGCATGATCGGAATTACGTCGATGAAAAGTTCCATGCCACGTCTGGACCGCGTCGTACTCCCTTTCGGCTAGCCGGTCATCCTTCCCTTCTTGAGATGATGACCCGCAAGTAATATACCTCCTACCTTGGCACCCCCCGTGCTCGCCTTGGCACACAGCCACCACGCGACGAAAGCTTGGCCGCTTCTAGAAGGACGTTGATCTGATTGCCTAAAATTGATTACATGCATGTGGAAAACACAGCAAGGATAGCACCACATGGAAGATAAGCGACTTTCAAGCGAGCGATTGTATTGTCAGATTATGAGGCTAGGTCGAACGACTCGCATCGCCCCTATCTATCATCCGAAAAGCAACCAAAGCGTGGCTATTGTCTTGTACTGTGCAACGGCTGCTGATCCGACTACCTGAAACTCTGCGCACCTACGAGGTCTGCACATAGATCTCGGAGCTTCCAGAAGATTGGTATCCCTCGGTGGCGACGATCTGGTAGTAATGCTGACCCAAGTTCATGCCATAGCGAGACCAAGCGTTGAAGTGGTTCTGCATGTTCACGCTGCCACCAACGCGCTTCTGGGTGCGAACAGACCTGTGTATTTGTTAGTACATGTTACATGTTCAGCCATATTGCATGCTTTCTTACCAGTACTGCTGAAAGGTCCTTGTTCCGTCGATGGAGGGCTGGTTGGTACGGGTAGAGGTGGAAATGTCGTAAGTACCACCGTCAGTCTGGAAGCTACCCTTGCGCTGAGATCCGCTGCTGGGGTTGTAGGTGCCGTAAGACTCGATCACGTAGTACTCCACAAGCGGGTTGCGGGTCCAACCGTAGACAGCCAAGTAACCGTTACCCTGAGGGTTGAAGGAACCGCCGTAGTTGATGGTGCTAGGATAAGGATCAGCAAACGATCAATCTCAGATCTTCCGGGTGACTTACCGGCCGGTTCCAGGGTTCCATCCCTTGCCACCGACGAAGTTGCCAGTGTTCCTCCAGGTCACGGAGTACTTGCTGCCCTCACCCATGGTGTACTGAGCAGAACCGCCACCATCAGTCCACCAGGAGTAGAAGTAACCGTTGTGGTAGCCCTCGGAGCTGGGCGTCGACTGACGCTTCTCAAGGAGAGCAGTCACATTGCCATCGTCGCGCTCAGCGAGGAAGTCGAAGGGAGCGGCGAGCACGCTTGTGGAAGCCACAGCGGCGAGAAGGAGAGACTTGAAGGATACCATGATGAACTGAGTAGGCTGATCTGTGCTGGATGCAGTGACGATACTAACTGCGAGAAGCAGCGACCTTATATGTCTTCTTCAAAGTGGATATGAGCCTGAATCGCTGGAAGAAGTCGCATTTGGTGGTCATGAGATATCATCTCGCCTGTGTCTACATCCGTCTTGGTGTCCATGACAGTCGTGCGTTCCAGTCCTCTCATTTTCAAAAGCACGTCCAAGTGCACTGACTAGAACGGCCTAGAGACCGCAAACGGAACCGTTCAGTATCCGTCTCGGTAATCATGGCAAAGATACAAAAGTACAAAGATCCATGTCCCCTGCACAGATTCTGCACGATACTGAGAGACAATATCGCTGATCCGGGATTTACGCGCTTTCTCAACCCGGTTCACAGGACGTTAATATAAAAGTACGCCACTAAGAAAGGCAGGGAGGCCTTACCCCACACTCTTCGGATGCACACCAAGGCCTGAGAGAAACATCCGTCGAGCTAAAGTCATGTAGGTGTTGGTATTTTAGGGGTAGTGGCGCACGTGATGAAACATTTGGGCGCTGAAGGCGGGAAGCCTCGGCAAGTTCAAGATAACCACCGGATGAAAAGGAGATGCCAAGAATCATAGCAGCCGGCATATCTACTAATCCCGGTGATGCACGCCAAGTCCTCGGCGGAGATGAGGTGTGGAGTGCAGAAATGGCTTTCGAAGTCGGTGAGTCTGCAGGAGAAGTTTTCGTAGCACCACAGGATAGCATGACGATCGTGTTTCTGTTCGCAAATCTACTGAGGCAGTATGTTGAGAGTCTCGAGAAACTTCCAATGATCGGAGCACGCCTGTGTATTAATATACTATCATGAACTTTCACGAGTGTTTAGCAGCATGTCGTATGATCGCCATACTACTAGCTGAGCTACCACGATACACTAGGAATCCGACCGTTGTAGTATGAAGCAATCTTACGAAGCTAGCAAAAAGCAGAAATGGATGCGCATATCATGTGGTGCCAGATGCTATACTAAGGATACACTTGTGGCGACTTCTCTAGGCTTCCAGATCTGAGACCTCCAGGAACATGATATCAGCTGGCAAGCCGGTGGCATCTGAATAACCTTCAGTTTACCCACTCCTATCTAAGACGGTACATGGCTCAGGCTCAGTTCATCCGATGGTAATCACGGCATCATCACGGGGAGAAGGAAACATGGAGCCATGGTCAGAGACATGGGTACTTTGCCTGTATCATACTACGGCGAAAAAGAGTGTTCACATTACGGCTTGTGACATGAACTTCAGCCGCTTCTCAATGACCGGATAGATCCGTGATCTTCCAGTGACAAGTCCTACTACTGTTGCCCATGGAACTGGACTTCCAGCACGTTGCGTTATGCCAATCAGACTCAGTTTCTACCAAATTCTACCTCAAAGTAGCTTCCAGTGTCGTCTCATGGATCCGCACATTGATGAGAACTTGGCTGAGCTACAGGCCAGCAAGTCGACACCTACCCCTTTACATGCCCCTACTCAGTGTCCTACCCAGTGTACCTATGATGTCTATTGAGGCTATCTGTTGTTGCCGCGTTTCCTTCTCGTCCAATCGATTCCACGCGGGATAAAGATCGACATCCTCATCCTCATCTTTTCTATCGAATCTCACCTGAGCGGCAAAGGACGCAACAGTTGTGCTTTCTGGTACTATTGTGTGGGGAAAGATGACAATCCTCAGTACACTGCATACTATGCAGAGTAAGTCCTGCGCTTCATTTGCTGAAGATTGACAAGCCATAGGAAAGCGGTGACCACGGCGTCTCGAGTGGCGCCGCTGTTGTCCTCGACTTCCGGTAGTTTGAGATGGGGTGACAGAGATTTGTTGCCTATATGCGTGTGACACAGCTGCATAGGTGGAGGTAAGAAGTTATTGTAATTCCTTATGTAGCAGTCCGCATCGCTGACAGTAGGAAGCTCAACCAGAGACAAAGAACGCGTTCTCAAGATATCTCTCGTCCACAAAAGGCCTTTACCAAACACTCAAGAGTCAAGCGCAAACTCTGCTCCTCCTTGCAACAAACCGAAATCCTAGCCTCCAATCGCACAAACTCAAATGGACAATGTGGAAGGCCCGTTGCCTTGAACAATATACCGTCAGGCGGACTACCGGAGTATATAGATCGCCGGCCTCCTGAGGTTACACCTCAAGTAACCCTTCTGTTCACCTTGGTTGGCAAGCACTTTTTGATAAACACAACTAGGTTGTGGCGTATAATCACATGGACGAAATGGGAGGTTCATAGATGGTTCAAAGTTCATTGCTTGAAAGCATATACCTCGAGCCTACGGGATGGCTTACCACCGCGGTCATCCATCCGGATTGGCACTCTACTGAGTATGGTATGCTCGAGGCTTACATCGACCTTGACACTTTGTTGGGCTTGGCTATGCTTGGGCTGGATAGTGATCGCACAGCATAGTGCCTTTGGGCCACAGTCAAAGAATAGCGAGACTGGAAGGTCATCCACAGCTACACTATCTGTGGCATTGGGGAGAGCAGTAACGCAGTTACATGCTCATCTAGAGGACCCCCAAATGAGTACTCAGCGGTCTTTTGGCTCTCCAGGTTGCTACTTCTAACCTCTCCTGTTCCCAACATAGGCTCAGCTTCACAATCTGGTCAACGAAGGCAATTCTCCGGGTGCATATCGCATGCCTTTTGACCAAATTGATGAGACAAAACTGGCTTATGTCTCGAGGGTACTTTCCAGATACCTGGAATTGCTGCATGAAAATCGAGGTTGAATAGCTAGAAGGCCTACGAGAGGACCCAGGATGACTTACTGCAGGGATGGGAACATCTTCTTACTAGTGGAGTACACTGGGCCATGTAGAATGGCAAATCCAAAGCCCGATTATTTGGAGGAAGATTAGAGAAACTATACACACCCTTGGTTTTGGGCCTTGTTCGGTCGTACGTCACAAGCCACGTACAGCCCCGTCTGGTTCCTTCAGGACATTCGACGTTCACGCCAATGCCCGCAACGGACCATACCTACCTTGGTAGTGTGATTTCGCTACTGGCCCGCTAACGCTCCTACCCCGCTTTTCCGTGCGACACCAACGACTCCAAACGACATGGAAAATCTACGCATAAGTTCGAACAAGGCATCGAGTTATGTGCTTACTTGTTCGCCAGCCACCCAATCGCTAGGTGTGGCTCTGGGGTTCCGATCTGACCGGCCGATGATACTCCGGCTTCTACCACTATCGTTCGTCAAGTGAATGATCACGATGTCTGCGTCATCATTTACGCTCGACTGGTAGCTCATCTCATGAGCTTCCGAGTACTGAGGAGATCTAAAACTACTCCAAGCGCGAGGGAATCGCCTGGAAGATCTTTGGGCCACATTCTACGACTTTGGCATTGATGTCCGGCTGCGCACGTACGCCGTTGGACACAGTGCGGAGATATGATGGAGAGCCGGAAAAAGTTAACACCAAGCCATGGAAGCTCACACTCAACTTGCTTGATCAAATTCATTCCTCTTCTTGCCTTCGCTTTCACCTCTTTCCGTATTCGCTTCTGCAAACCGGTCTCGATCTACATTACTCACGTGACAGCAAACTTCACTGCGGATCCGCCTACCAAATCGGTACCCGAAACCCGACATCCTCCGCTATCCCGGACTGAGCCTACACTCACTGCATTTATACCTGGTATATTTGTTTCGCAATCCGCGCCGATATATTTCCTGTCGCATCACAACTATGCCTACTGCTACACGCTCTCTCGAAACAATGGTCCTACAGGCACACCGTGCGAAGGGTGTACGCTACCCAACAGCATCCCAGAAAGAATGTTTCAAGACTTGGTACTCGTACGCGCTTCGCCAAGGCGAGGTTACTAAGACTTCTCCGAAAGTCATCGAGGAGCACGCGAAGCACCTCAAAGAGATCAAGGAGGCCGCGCCAGGTGGGCGAACATATATTTAATGTATTATACCTCCCAGCCAGTACTAGGCCTTGAAAATAGCTGACTGGAACAAAAGGTTCGACTTACGGACGTCTCACTCACGTTCGCGCAAAGTGCAACGAGCAGCCTTTCGTATTCCACAGCCTCAAACTGGCAGATCAAGAATCGCTCGATCATTAGTTCCTGATCTACATATCTCACTTTTTCCTCTTCGAAATCTTCCTCGTTACTCAAAGACGTCTTATAATTTTCATTTCTGGCAGTAGATACATATATATTATAATGATGCACTCGAGCTACTCCCCCAACCGCTGTAGTTCCTGATATTGCCTATTGTGCGTAGTAGTGCAGATTGCTTCTCATCGTGTGTTGCTGACCTTTGCGACTCCAATGTATTGTTGGTGGCAAATCGTTTCACAAGAGCAAAGATTACCACAGCGCCATTACAGCAAATAAAGTTTCAAGAACTTGCATCGCTAAAAATGTGTGGGTTTCTGGACGGTCTCTTAATCATTGTAGATGCCAGAGTTCGAAGCCCTTATCCTAACTTGATGCAGGGCAAATGATTGCGCATCAAGAAAAACCAGCTGTCAGGATCTCAAATCTCGTTCAGTTTATCATACAGAGCTTTTCGACTGCTATCTATTTACCTAGGTAGTAATCAATATAGGAAGTGTAGAAAACCATGTGCCAGCTCTTTGCTTCACAGCTTTGTCAATCAGCGCTTTCCTCTTTCTCTCCGACTAACTATCTAAAGCTTTATCTAGACATACGCATTTTCAAGCACTGCACAATCTTTTGCTGAGGATGTACGACGTTATCGTCCTTTATAGTCCCTTGACAAGATCTTGTCTTGTGGGACTATGCTAGGCAGGTATAGACCAGAAGCATTACGTTTGGCCCTTACAGACAGGCAATCAAAATAGGGAATAAATGGACTATTCATGGATTATCCACTGGAATCAACGTCTCTGGATTCTTCCAGTTGCCAGTCCTTTTGGGTGAGTGCGTATGAGTATTTTGTAACAGTGGCAAAAGTTCCATTGCCGGCAGCGAAGTGATTGTGCATCGTAAGCACACCCTTCAACGGCGAAGTGTTTTCCACGGACCAAGAACGCGGACAGACCGAAACTGGGGGTAGTAAGAGCGAAGCCTGAAAGCACCAATTTCTGGAGATGTGGTTCCCCACGCCACGAGCGGCTTGATGCTATTGGGCCGAGGTTCTAACAGCGTCATGCAGGTACCCACTACAGGTGGGGTACAATTACACGCCTCATCCCAAAAGAGAGTCGTATCCCGAATAGCATGGACATCGTCTAGAATCAAGTCGACATTAATCATTGCTTACTATACCTACGCTACTACCGTACAATTGATGATCTTCGCTACTGTGGTTACTTAAGTCTCCTTTCTGCTCCCATTAAATCGAGTACCACAGCATTACTGCTACAGCCCACCTACACTTGACACACGCATAACCACCATACCTCACAATTACAATGGCGCCACCATCTTTTCGTGATCTTCTCGGCATGCCCGCTTCTACGGCCTCGACTAGCGACTCTGCTCTTCTTGTCATTGACGCTCAAAACGAATATGTAAGTTCTATCTCATAGCTTTCTAAAATTTGATCTCTCATCCCAAGTATTTTGAAATTTCGATTCCACCATTGCATAGACAGATGTATTCGGGAAAGGATGCTATAATGCGTTGCAGGCCGTTCTATGCCTTTCTTGCTTACCCTCGCTTCTTGTCGATCTACAGTATCGCTAATCCCACTCACTAGGCATCAGGTGCTCTTACCGTGACGAATGCTGCAGCAAGCGGAAAAGTTATCGCCGACCTTCTCGATAAGTACCGTAAAGCCAACGGCAAGATCGTCCACATCCTACACCAAACACCGGAAGGTGCACCTGTCTTCACACCTGGCACCGACCTGGCAGAAGAATTCAAGGAGGTCAAGGCACAGGTATGTGAGCCAGCAGGACATTTACCCTCATGTCTGCACAAGAAGAACTTAAAGCGTTCAAATTTTAACGTGTGTATTAGGACGGAGAAGAGAAGATATGGAAGAACTTCCCCGGATCATTCGAGCAAACCTCCCTCCACGAGACGCTTCAGAAGATGGGTGTCAAGAAGCTCGTACTGACTGGCTACATGGCACATGTCTGCGTGTCCACTACTGCCCGTGAGGCCTTCCAGAAGGGATACGAAGTCATTCTTGTCGAGGATGCTATTGGTGACCGCGATATTCCCGGCGTCAAGGGTGATGAGGTCACCAGAGTAGCGTTGGCGGAGCTGGCAGATGTATTTGGCACAGTCGTGAAGAGCTCCGACATCAAGTAATCGAATTGAAGTCAAGAAGTATAACCAATGAACCCTTTGAAACGACTGCCACAGAGCACGTGTGAATGATCACAGCCCACCTAAAGCACCAACACCCCTCAGCACTGTCACAGTATGCACATACCTAACCCTTCCCTCTTCAACCCTGATCTCATGGCTGTCTGGCCAAGGCCCTAAGCTGTCAAACTGGCAACTGACCTGCACGCTTCCGATAGTCTCATCAATGACGTACCGTCTCATTCCATTCACTTTCTGACTTCCTCCGTGTGGTAGACTACCCCCGCAAGGATTCGTATACATGCTTCCTTCCACCCTTTCACACTGTGGACCCCAAGGAATAGTGTCGGCAGCAGTAGCATTTGTCCACATGTCGAGATATGCATCACCGATAGATCTGAGAAGGGCACGAGAAGGCTGCGATGACGCGGGAAGGGTTGACCAGGTTTCGGCGCGGATGTAGGATAAAGTCTTCGCAGCATCAAAAAACAGGTCGCCTGTTGTGGCGGCCACCGTGTCGATGGAGCTGATTGTTGATGTGTCGTTATCTGTATGGCGAATCTGTGTACCAACGACGTGCGGTTGGCTTCCAGATGTGCTGATCCACATTGTGTAGCTGGCGCATGTTGCAGTGTCGGCGGTGGAGCGGTTGAAATTGATGACAAAGGGCGTCGAAAGGAGACCGGTCGCCATGTCAAAAGCCCTGTTGTTTTGGAGGTATGTGAAGTTGGTGGATGTGAGGCTGAGAGTGCTAGGTTTACCCGCTACCTGAGCTGCTAGATACGAGTTTGCAGCCGAGAGGAGTCCTTCCCGCGTACATTCGGTTGATGATGTAGTCCCAGCGAAGACTACGACGACGACTAGCAGCAGAAGGTAGAATCGATTGTGCATTTTGGCAGGTTTGCAAGTAAATCTCTCTCCAAGAGGCGCATTCAGGAAGTGCTGCGTTCCAGAGACGGAAACACATTGGCGTTAAATGGACCTTTCATGATATCAGACCTACAGTTACTGCGACTGCCGATGACCCCGAGATAATGGTAGTATTATGCCGGATATTGCTCCTTTTTCAAGGTTTCCATTTAACTGCATGCTTGTCAGTGGCACGCTCGAAGCGACCTAATATGCGGAACTTTGAATAACAGAGTAAGTTGGCCCTGGAAGCAAGGAGCGGTAGTTTCGGTAGTATCCTGGCTAGACAGAACCACCATCAAGCCTGTTATTCTTTAGGCAGATAGTGGTCATGATGTACCGCAGTAATTTGTGGGTTCCTCTGTGACGAGGTTTGTTCAGTGAGGGGGAAGAGGCGGGGAATGGAGAACTGTGCTGCGTGTCGCGAAATTGACGCGTCCGCGACCCCATCGAGCCTGTGTGAGCATGCTCAGTGGGTAGCCCTGTCGTCATCACTCGGAAGTCATGATGTGCCGGCAATTTCAACATTGAAGACATGAGTATACTTGTACACAGTGTTTAAGTATGTCTGAATTGGCTCGATTGAATTATCACTAACTCGTTACAGCATGTAGAGATAAAGCCACCAAATGGCTCTGCTTTGCTTGGCCCCACATTACGCAATGACATCAACGCGGGTTACCTCGTCCGCTGCCCCAGCTAGCGAGAGCCCATATGCCCTTTACGACTGCATCCTCCCCGTCGCGACCTCGAAGGCTAATCTTGCCTTTTTCTAGTTGATACCTTCGCAGTTCGCCGTATACTCCAACCAAAACATCTTTGAGCTCATCGTCCGGCCTACCTTTCCACGCAGCTCCACCGCCGCCAATTTTCGCACAACAACGCTCAACCACTAGGTTCATGATCTCATGGCGTCTGGTCGGGTACGGCACTGGAGCCGGATAATGTGCGATACTCTGGCTAATGAGCAAGGTATAGAGGTGCAGCAACGGAAAGTAAGACGACTCGGTTTGCCGAGAGGCTTCGATGATGTAGCGCCACGATATGTCTTCTTCGCCAATGGGTAAGCAGGCATTCGCGCGCCAAACCAGTCTGTTTGCACGCGGATTTGTAGTCAGCCATTTTGGTAGTACAGCACCTGCGCTGGCTATCAAATGCGCAAGTCGAACCAGCGGGATGGCAAGACCAGTCGCTATATCGGGGCGGCCCAATGAGTCCCAGGATGCAGCGACGAGATTGTAGCAATCTAGGACAGAATCTTGTCTCCGGTCATCTGGCGCATTGGTACCGAGTGCGGTGTTGATGAGGGCGGGAATGATGGCTTGGTCAAGGACGGAGGGTACTGTGAAGGCGCCGGTGGGTTCCCGCTGCCAGAGTACTTGCAAGCCAGACCATATCTTCATCATGAACGCATTCAGACGCTCGGGCGGTTGGTCGCATAATGCTTGCCAGCTAGAGGCCACGTCGAAGGATTTGAGTCGTTTCAGCTTGGGGACCACTACATAACGGCAAGTTGGACAGGCGTTCGTGTTTCCCCTACCACGCTTGAGCCATGTCTTGATGCATTCATGCCCGAATATGTGCTTGCAGGCAAGTGCCACAGGCTGATGGGTCGCGCTAAAGTGGTCGGTGCAAATGCTGCAAGTGTCTGCGGGATGCAGTTGTGTATCGAGGAAATTGTCCATGCCTACTTCATGAGCTTGTGTAAGTCGGTAGAGACTGAGTCGAGTGACTCCATGCTAAGGACTTGTAGCTGATAGAAACGTTGGCGGTGACGCATCAGGTGGGTGAATCTGTTTGCAATCAGCGAGCGATTGTGAAGGAACAATGACATGTAAGTTTGTGACTTCACTGCTCTCCGTTGAATTGACCCGGGGATCAATTTTAGACGCTAACTGGTAACGAGGAAACCAAAGTATTTTTCAATTCGCAACGAAGTTGCGCTATCAGGTCGGAAGCTGTCTACCTGGACTGGTGATCGACTTGATCGCATGAGCTCTTGACTTTCTGGCTTTTCGATCATTACCTCTCACGACAGGAGGCTCAAATGTCGAACACTGAACACCCTCCACACTTTTAATGAGGCCTAGGATGATCACGGCTTCCATCGCCAGCCTGGATGCTTCCACTCGAGATTAGTCACATCGCTTTCTGAGGGCAACGTAAGCTCCAGCTGCGCTTCTGCTTCCTTTTTGTCCCTCTTCTCATTGTCATGTGTCATCCACAATTTGGTACATATCGCAAGAATAGTCCTAAAGTTTCGTGTACGGTGTAAGTATGTCTCATGCGATTTGTAGAACAATGTTGCTTACCAAGTCACTGCACAACCTAAGTTGATGCCGTTGCCGATTGCATAACGGGGAGAATCGCCAGGCAGATACGTCCAAGTCGCGATCAGAGCACCAACGTATCCGAAAAAGACGTTTGTACCAATTGCAATGCTTCGTGCGGAGTCGGATAGCACGTTTGCGCTAACTTGAGCGTTCGTCATTGCGCCCAACGAGAAACAAGTTGATGCGCAAAGGAAAACAGCCGCGTAACGCACACTCGCATTCATAGTCGCGAGGAAGATTGTGTATCCAACAGCCACGAATAATCCCGCAAGCGCAATCAAAGTCTGACGAGAGTTCATCTGCCAGCTCACGGCTGTGATCAGGATAGTGCAAACCACCGCGACAATGTATGGTGGCACTGTCAAGAGCTGTTGCTGGATGACAGACCGGCCTGGATAGATGGTCCGAATGATGGTCGGCAAGAAAAATGAGATAGCTAAGACAGTGATACTGTCGAGCAGAAAGATGAACGATACCGCAAGTGTGACAGGATTGGAGAAGCCGCGTTTGAGCTTTGAGGCGTCGATTTTGTCGAGCAGCTCATCCTGATTGAGACGCTCAGACTTGATCCTGTCAATCACCATCCGCATTTCTTCCTCCGTCATCCAGCGCGCAGTCTGTGGACCGTCGGTCAGTGTGACGAATGCCACCAAAGCAACAACCATGGTGACGATGCCTTCAATTGCAAAAATCCTGTTGCTTGTTACTCGGCTATCTGCAGCATTGAAGCGGCTTGCTTACATCTGCCAACCATGAAGCGAACCGACAGAGTCCAATTTCAGGATCGCCGAAGCGATCAGGCCACCAAAGGCTCCAGAGAGAGGAGCCATGGTTATCCATAACCCAAGACGAAACGTCAGCTCTGATCTTTTGTACCATCGTGAGAGGTAATAAGCACATCCAGGCATTACGCCAGTTTCGAATATACCCAATAAAAATCGAACAGCACATGCTTGAGCGCGGGTTTGTACAAAGGCTGTCGCTAAGGACATGGCACCAAACCCCAGCGAAGTGAGTGGCAAGAACCAACCAGGACCTGTTTTCGGATTAGACGCGAGCTAAGGAGTGTTGACGTAAAGCATACCGATCAGTTTGCAGCAAAGCGCCGCTGGTATCTCAAAGACAATATAAGACACATAAAACACCGACAACAGTATGTTGTAATCATAGCCTTCAAGCCCAAGATCCTTTTCTAACCCAGCGAGACGGGCGTTACCTGTTTCCATTAGTCGATTGGTAGACTCGATATACGCAAGAGGAAGTTACCAATATTCGTGCGGTCGATGAAACACATGAGGTACAGCAAGATGACAGTAGGGAGAACAAAGAGATCGATTTTTACAAGCAGCCTTCTCTCACGGCGACGCGTCGGCTCATTCGGATTCGTGTCATCGTGTCCCACGCCAACTCTCCTGGTTACTTCTCCGGCATTCTTCCCGTCCATATCCGCGAAATCTAGAACAATTTCCAAGGGAGAAAGAGATTTGGAAGCGATGGGGAAGCGCTCGCTATCAAGGCGGGGTATCTGCTTTGAAGAAACCAATACTGGCCTGCATGTCATCTGCGGCGGCGACTGCAGATCATGGTGCTACAGACCAGGGCTAGCTGCTAGCTGCAACGGGACTAGTGACGAATGAGGTATCTAGAAGAACCGTCCAGCAAACCTCGCAACATCCTCATCACTGCTATGCACCTAAGCTAAAACAACTCGGCAAAATCATAAGATACTCATTCCGCACTGTGTTCCTGCTAAAATCATAGAAGGGATATCGTCACAAGCTCCGGCTCAAGGCGCACACCTTTCATTCAGCCTGGTCGACGGAACGCTCACTAAGCAGCATTTTGCGTCTTAGAACATCGTTCAATATCCTCGCAATCCTCTTCAGAATTTACAGAAAGGTCTCGATGCTGAGACTTCAAGTTTCCAAGCTTTGTTTTCACCAGGAAGCGCGTCTGCACAGCATGCACAACGCTCACGATCATATAAGTCACATGCTCGCTACCAGCAGATAATTCTGGAGCTTATCTTCTTCTGCAAAAGTCGACACTATGGGTTAGGAAAACTCCTTGCAGGATTAGCTCGACCTCATTCGCGGACCGTTATCTAGCTACAACATGAAGGGCGGACAGAGACTCATGTGGTGGGCGTTGCTTGAGCGAAGAAGCTTGTAGGTGTTCCTTCTACATCTAAGCTCGGTAGTCTGTAGCATCGTGACTACAAGGGTCGTTCAAGCTAATTCTCGGACACCTGGAATGATCGACCAGAGTTCACTCGCACGAGTGTAAATGGCGATATAGCATGTTAAGTTGGTCAGAACGCACTCATCAAGCTTGTAAAACTTATTTCGGTCAGATTTCCACGAGTAGGCTGTTACTATGGTACAAGTGAGCCATATTACTTATGTTGAAATCCGCTGTAGATGGAACGGGCGAGCGAGACTATTCCGTTAGTATGAGCGAGCACCTTGGTAACGTACTGACAGTACATTATGGTTTATCCAGACGGCGTACACCTATTGCGGTACATGCGATACGAGAACTCTCTGATAGGCCTGAATTCTTGTTAGGAGGGTGTACCATCGCAATCGTGATTTTTCTGATTGGCAAGTATCTTTTTGTTAGACTAATTGGCATTAGACAAAATGTAAGTGGCTCACCGCCATGGGAAAGACTGGAACCATGGTTTTCGATACCAGGGAGATAATACATGGGTTTCATTTTTAAGAAGAGACGCAGCATTAGCACTTCTCATTCATCACATGCCAAAAGTATCGTTCCAGAATTTCTCATAAAAAAAGGGCTGTGTCTACTCTACGACTACATCTAAGTTGCATCCAAACTCTGTCCAAGCCTCACCCGTAACAAACACGAAATAGACCATGTCAAGCATTTTCAGCAAGATATTCGCCTTCTTCTCGTGGCAAGAGCCACCACCACCCACCTTCCGCATTACCGCACTCGTTGCACCCGCAACATCAGAACAGTACCGCTCCAACTCCAGCTTCTCACACGCTGACCTACTCGGTATCGAAGAAACAATCACATTCGATGTTGACTGCGACGTAATTCCGGAGCAGATCCGCTGTAGCTGCCTCACGTCCGGAAACGAATGCACCGAAAAATACCTAGAGGAACATTATGTGATGGAATGGGCTGCTGGTAGTATCATGGAGTATGAGGAGGTGGAAATTAGAGGCGAAGTAGTGAGGAGGGAGAAAAGAGGACGACCTAGAATTTGGGAGGGATGGTGCAAAGATGGTGGGATGGTTTATTTGGGGCCAACGGAGAGAATGAGGTGTATTGAGGGTTACGACGAGCATCTCAGAGAGCAGGCGAAGATCGACGGAGCCAGGAGGACGAATAGTTGCGAATGATTCTGCAACTTGGTATCATTGTGCTGTGCATAGGCAAGCCGGGATGTTCGCGGTACCAATGTATCGAGTGTCAGCGTATCGTCGTTATCACCAACCAAGCATTGACGATCGTCTTACACAACGGTTTCGTTTGTCTCCAATAACCCTTTTCACATCGTGCGTCACGCGCGAACACTAAATTCACAAAGTCTTTGTTCATCAAACACACACTCGATCTAAGCCACTTATTCTTTATCACTCCTCGTACTAAATTCCCCAATACTGCGGCACTTCATTTTGCGCAAAGCCTCAGGCATTCATCGGTTGCTTACATATATCGAAATCGGCTGAGCCAAGGCCACGGTGCGAAGTTGAATATGTCGGTACCTTACTTTGATCCTTTAGGCGAGACAGGTAAGAGTTCAGGGTCGGTGAGAGGCTCGCATGTTGACTTCAGTTCAGAACCAAACAACACACGCTATACCCTGACAGTCGTGGTACCACCTAGACCACCGCCACACTGGCTGCCCAGCATATTCAAGAATAAGCTATCTACCCACTCAAGCAATGCTGGCGCGCACAAATTGCCTGTATCGAACAACAACCCCAACCTCGACCTTTTTGAATTCAAAGACATCGGTATTCTGGCCACCAAGACCATCACCATCAAGAGTGCATGGTTTCCAGCTGAGATGAGGTGTGCGCATGTTCAAAAGGGACTGTTGTGTGGAGAACGTTGCTACTTTCTTGAGAAAGGTGGAGATGTGACAAGGTGGTGGTGTAAAAGGGAAGATTGTGAAGGACATGTGTACTGCGGACGAGTCATGACAGATGACAAAGGAAGAAGTTGTTTTGGTAAGAAGGGAGGAAGAATGGTATGCTTGGAAAGGTGATCAAAGGTTATGTCTTTGACGAATATCTTTGAACACGAATACAATGAGCAATAATGTAATAACATGGTATTATAGTAGTGTGTACTAGGCGACGATGCGCAAGTATGTATAGGGTATTCGCTAAGTTAAAACTTGTTCGAGATGCACGGAAAGAACTAAAGAATTCGCTCCGAAATCTTTACAGGAAGAAGGCAGCAACAGCGGCACCAAGACCGGCCAATGCCGGGACTTGGATCATCTGAGCAGCACCGGTGGCTTGCTCGGCAGAGCTGGAAGTTGGGGAAGCTCCGGAGCTGGCAGCAGACTCTGAGTCGGAAGTGGTGGCCGTGGCGGATTTAGAAGCTACAGAGGTCATGGTAGAGCGAGATGCTGTTACAGAAGCGCTATCAGCGGACACTGACGCTGCTGCAGTCGCACTCGGAAGCGAATCGTCGCCTTCTGTGATGGTGAGGGGGATCATGTTGAAGTATCCATCGGGCAATACCATAGAGGTTTGAAGGGCAATGACCTCATCATCGGGGCAGAGGTCGGAGTACTCGGCGTCGGCGCACACAGAGCTCATCGCCTCATCGAGGCCTTTGGTAGTCATGGTGCAAGATGCTGATGCCTCGTCGGTGTTCTTGCGTGAGCATTCGCCGGAGATTGTCACAGTTACGCCGTAGGCTGAAGCCGCTGCCTCGAAACCGTAGTAGGTATTGCCTCCAACAGTGATTGTCGCTGGAATATCGGCCTAATTGCAACGAATCAGTGAATGTCGTCGATAGCTTGAAGTCGTTACTAATTACCATTAGATCCTCCATAGTGGCAGCTGAGACATCCAAAGACAAGGTAGTGCGGTCATCGTTGACATTGATAACGGCACCTTCGTATGAGACATCGCCATCCGAAAGACCCGGCATCCACATGGAAGTGGTTGTTGTAGCCGCAGCAGACGAAGCAAAAAGTGCCAGAGACAAAAGCTTAGACATTGCGATGTAGAAGGATGAATATTAAGTCCAGGTGTTGGAAATATTGTAAAGAACGAAAGACAGTAACGAGTGATGCTTGACAATGCAATGAAGACTCTTTGGCTGTGGGATATCCAGTCTACTTATTGGGGAGATTTGATGGCTGATCGCTTAACTGACAGCGCATGATGCGGGAGGCCTAACCCGTGCTGGCCCCCTGAGAACTATACGAGCCGCCTTTCTAGGCACACCGGTATCTGATGTGGTCTAGTTGCGGTCTATTTACGCGACTGTTGCCTGAAAGAAATTGCTCGTGGATTCTCCGCATCTGCTTGGGTGGAGCAAAGCATACTGTGGAGTGACGTTGATACCCAGGTGAGCCAAAAGCACGCACAGAGCCACGGTATGATGGTTTCAAGTTCCCATAATAATTCTGCAACACAGACTTATAGAGTAAGGCTTGGTCTGCACATTTCTTATTTCTTATGTCTGCTGTCTTGATGTATTGGTGGTAAATGGCCTGTCAAAACTCCACGCACAAAAATTGACAAGCAACAAAGTTTGTGGCTTGGATCTTGTGGTCCATGCGTGTTTCGGAAGGCGCTCTCTGGGCCATTGGTAGCCATTTTAGCGAGACGGCAAGCAGTATCCTAACTGTCAGCCCTATGAAGTTGGGGCGTTTGGGCAGGTCGCTACTTTCGAGGGCGTGCTGAGAGAAAAGTCTTGCAGAAGTGGGTGAGCACTGGAGATTGGAAGAAAGTGCATGCACCAAGCGCTGCTGACATAATGAGAGTTTCCACCTTCGTGAGCATACAAGTTTTCGGCACGACAAGCACAGAGACCACGTTCGGCAAAGCAACGTTCAAATTACAACACAACTAGGGGTATCGCGCTCGAACAAACAATATAACGCAACACAAACGCCATCCCTGTGCCTTCCGGCCATGCCGTCCAGATAGAACAAGCCTGTCAGCCTAACACACCAACACCTCTATCCGCCGTCGTTCTCACACCGTTCGCCGTTGCTTCCAAAGCTAAAGTTGCCGTAACTGCTCGGTGTGTGCGCATGAATATCGGGTCCAAAATCGTCAGGAAGACTTTCGTAGTAATATCGGTCTTTTCTCCATCAGGCGCGAACCATTTCATGAACGACCATCCTAGGAGTGTTCCTGGTGGTACTGGGCGCCACGGCGCATACCACTCGAGAAATTGTAGTCATCGTCGTCGTCGTCTCTTGCGCGAAGGAGCTCCTTTGACCAACCCTGGAAGGGCTTCTTGAGCGCCGCTCTCAAGGATGAGGAAGTCGCAATCGCATGGTGTTGGCTTAACGACGAGCTCTCGACTGGCGCTGTCACAGAAGAGCTGCGACTCGACGGCTTGGAGGTTTGTGCGACCATGTTGAAAGTTTAGATGAGGCTAAGATTCGATGATCCGACGTATTGGAAGGCTGTAAGTATGGTAGGAATATTGACAATTGCTAATGTTTGCTTGATCGATGAGCGACTTGCTTCAGGCTGCCGGTAACGGCCTACTATATACTCTTGTTGTCGCAAAGTCGAAACCCATCGGTCCCAACAATTGTACCACCGAGTCATCGCCGAAGAGCCTCACTCAAAAAGACTACAATTCTTGATAAAGATGACCCACTGAAATCATACATATTCCAGACTCTGGTCATGGTGATTGGTCGAGAATTTGACTTTCTCGATTTAGTCGGAACGAATTACTGAGTCTGTGGCAATTCGGTTACAACTCGGATTTTCGGAGATGATCGGGGAAGTTGGAGTCGGGATACTTCGGAATGCACCAGTCTTAGAAGTATTGCCAAGGACACCAGACAATCACAAGCTCGTCAAGACATGGCCAATTAAGGATCAAGCATTCGTCTTCTCTACTCTACATAGGTTTGATTTTTTCTTTAAAGAAGAAAAAGTCGATAGATAGATCCGCGTTACCGACCTTCACCCACAGACAGACCTGTCGCAACGATCATTCGCGACCGCTTAAACAGATTCAGTCATCTGACGACAAACTCAAAATACAACTGTGAGAGACTATCTTTCTCGACCGCTCTCAGCCTCGTCGTTAGGTATGAGTTCCAGATCTGCATACTCTAATCGCTCATTGCGATGATTGTTGTTATCCGTCTCATAGCACCCGAACATTGTGCTAGGTCTTGCTGTGCCAGATCGTTGGTAGTCGTAGCTGCACGCTGCGCGGTGGTCAGGGCCCTTCGTATATTCGACAGTTCGAGTTTCCTTATGTCATCAGTCGAGTCGTCTTCTTCCGGCTTTGCTTGCTTGATCTTATCTACGATTCGATTCATTTGGAGTAACGACTCCTCGATCACGGTGTTGTATCTTTCAACGAGAGATTGTAATAAGTCTGGGTATGTATGCAACTCTTTGGAATGTGCACTCAAGACAAACTTGGTACGACACATGGGGCAGGTTGCGTCTTCATCTTTGTGAAGCTTTGTGTGCAGCCAAACATATAGGCAGAGTTTGTTGAAGATATGAGGCGACGGACATGTCTTGGTCTGGAATACGGCCTTAGAGGAAACAGAGGACGCTTGGTTGACAATATCCGACGGATCGGCCTTCTCGTCGCAGCCGCAAATGTCGCATTCTTTACCGTGCACGACGTAATAATCTTCCTGGAGGTCATCTACACTTTCGTCAAAGAACGTGCTCAGACTCAGGCCGGTTGCAGTATCGTCGGGCATGTCGAGTATGATCGAGGATTCGTCGAGCTGTAGGGTCGTAGGCTAGGGGTGTACGTTGAGAAGAAAGGGGTAGCAATGTTGATAACTGAACTTCATAACGTGTATGAAAAATGTAAGTCACGGCTGTGAACATTCTCTAGGCTGCCATTTCACCTCTGCCAGACCCTCTAAGATACAGTGTTCACACAAATAAGCCCCTAGCCTTTGACCCATATCTACCGGAGCTTGGGACATCCAACAAGACTCAAGTAAATCCACAAGTAGTCTTCGATATCACTTTCCATATTTGATGTCTCCTGTAGTCTCAGTGCAAGATCGACCTTTGGGAAAAGCCATAGAGCTTTACTAGAACGACGACCTACAAACGACAGCTGGATTCGGATTTCAACTCACCGGCATATCTACTGCTTGTCGAAGTCTTTCTTCTGGACCAACTGACCCATAACTTGTAGGCGCAAAGAAATAATAGGTTTACACCAATACTTCTACAAAGGAACGTAGCGAGAAGTTAACACGCTAGATCGATAAGAACCATGCAAGGGACTCTGGTTTGGGACATCGAAGTGGATTGAATGTGATGCGCATCTTTCTGCACTGAGCAAAGTTTGAGTGAACAAATGCCATAACAACCGAAAATTGTTCTCGTGAGAAAGTAACTAGCGAGAGGTCAAATTGCATGACATAATGCCTGCGCTGTGTAGTTCCACCGCTCATACGTCACCTCTGTACATCTTGTCCGACTCCTTAAACGTCCCATGAAATCCGAAGCTCATCGGACCCGCCATCTCTGCTCTTCCCATCTCCGTCAAATCCTTCGCGCTCAGTACGAGCAAGTAACTTTTTTCCGCATACCCATTCAAAACCACACTCAGCAACACGCCGTCATCTTCCTCCATGCCTTCCGGGTCAGCAATGAAGATGGCCTCACCAGGCGTGTGACCCTCTTCTTCCCAATACTTGACTTCTTGAGTCTTGTTATCGAACTTGACGAGGCCGTCGAAAAAGGAAGATTTGAGACGGTCAGCGCAACCGTATGTGTAGCGGTGGCGTCGTGTTAGATATGCAGGGTTCAACGTGGGCAACTCCATCGACTTGAACTTCTCAGCCTGGAACAAGAGCTCCGCGGGCATGGGAGTGGGGACACCAGCGTCAACGCTGGGAAGACGGAATTGTGCCTGCATAGGTAAAGCTGTCATACGCTCCTCACCTTCGTACTCGCGCGTGTCGATGGAAGAGATGAGATTATCGTAGTAGAAGCGCTTGACAACATCAAGATTTTCGAACATGCTGAGCTCGGTGATGATGTCTGTTTTGGTGGGATCAGAAGCCGACGGTTCTTCCCAAGCGTTGATACTGTGGAAGCAGAAAAATGGGTTGCTTTCGTACGTTGCTATGACTCCTTTACCCTGGCGCCGATCGACGACGTACCACGTAGCTTTGGTATTTGGGTCGAAGGGTGCCATGGCATCGATGACGTTCTTGTGGTACATGAGCGAAATGCCACCCCATGTGATATGGCTGTTCCAGACACAGAGAATGACGTAATTTTCTGTTAGGAACAATGAGTGGATGTATGCAGGTATTCCATGGAAGGTGGCGAGGATGTCTGTCTCGCCAGACGATGCTGAAACGCGAAAGATGCGGTAGGTGCTCTTGTAACCAAATTCTAGGTTGAAGTTAAACATGTCACCAGTCTTGGGGTCGGACTTGGCATGGGCAGCGGAGAAGGGCCCTTTCAGTTCTGGATGGAGAGAGTTCTGGCGAGCGTAGCCCCTTGGTTCCAAAGTCTCAGGGTCGATCCGCTTGACCTCGTGAGAATCTGTTTTAACGTGTAAAGTGTCGATGCCGTTGGTGTGATTGTTTGTTGTAGGTCTCGCAGCTCCAGGCAGTTTGTCGCCTCCTGGCATATTAATCGACAAGGTAACGCCGACATTATGTTCGCTTGGTATTGATACGAACATGCTCATGACTTTGCTAAAGAAGCTTTCGCATAGATCTGAACGCTTTGGGCCGAATGTGGTACTGTCGAGTCTGCCGTTCTTACGGACCATCTCAAGGTATTCATCTACTGTGCGTCGAGAGCGGTATGTAACCTTCGGTGGACTGTCCGCATGGGGAGTGGCGTCTATCTGGAAGCGATGAACACACGAGAATCCATCGAACCAATGCTTTGCCGCCCAGACCTTTCCATCGTCTGTCTTCGCCTTGTAGCCGAGCGGCCCTGTTCGGTAAAGTACACCTGCAGCATACTTGGGGATGTTGCCTTTGACAGTGAGTGACACGGGTTCGTTCTCTTCGTAGTTCGTGTCGAAGCCTGCCGTGTTAGGCCAGACATCTGTTGTGGCGACGACCATGCTGATGTTCAGTTTTCGTACAGTACTGCGCGTGCGTGCGTGGTAATACAGAGATGAGGTGTCTTACGGTACCTTGAGGGAGGTTGGGGATGGTCGTAGAGAGTACTGAAGCTTAGCTCGATTGTAGGGCCAGAGAGGTGGCAACGACGAGAGTGAAGCAAGTGCAAAGAGAGAGCAATAAATAGGCAGGTGCAGCTTGAAGCTTTTCCAGACTGGAAGACCTAGCTAAAAAGAGTTGATTAACCTTATTGAGTAGCTTGGCTAGAGATATAGAGGAGATTATAGGTTTTAGCTTCTTCCAACGCCGTGCGGATAGCCTTATATGCGGGGCGGCCCCGGCTCAACCCTTCCGTACGTATCGTGAACGCGGTGAAATCACAGTCGCAATACATTCCTCAAAACGACGTTGCTGGTGGCTTGAAAGGCTAAGGGAACTCGATTCTGAATCAGGAAATATCGATTGGTCACACTTCTTCGCTACTGCATAGAATAGGACGAATAGACCCCCCATTTTCTTCGCGACTGGGAGCAAATCTCTAAGAAGATTGGATTTAGCCGGACCTCATGTCCTTCTTTCACGTGCAAATCTATACAATGTGGTTGTTACGCTATTTGAGGTCCTATCTTTCACACACATGCGGGGTTTCATGGATCTAGGCCCCAGGTCTGGTCGGTGATGAGATCAGATCGACCATATAGAAACCGTGAGGAGACGACAGGCGTAGAGAATCAGGTTTTCATTGCGCGGACTTCTCCAGGCGTCGTTTCATGCTGATCTAGAAGCCCCGTATGGCTTGATAGTTGACCCACACCTTACGTGCGTAGGTTAAATAATGCGCATTTCGCAAGATACTCCCTATGGAGATGCCTAAGCTTAGCAGCTATGCTTGGTCATTGCGTTGTTGACTTTCTCTGCTGGAAGATCAGAAAGGCTGTATGAATATTATGGAAAAGAGAATAAGCAAGATATGCAAGATAGTCATGAAGAGATTCCAAGCGACACTTCAGGCGGAGAGATGCCTGATCGCCGAAGATGTAAGCTAGCACCAACGCAGCACTAGCCCTCAGCCCTATGGCGGGCTTTGGCAGTTGCATCATCAATTTGGACTCAAGATTGTCTTTGGCACGAATCACATCTTCGACGCCACAACCACCATTGTCATTGCACAACCCGCGGCCAGTCCAAAGATTTCAGAAGTCACTCCGCCTTTACATGGACCGTTAGCGGCTGTCAACTACTGCCGAACGGCCACTGCGCGCGGAAAACCCCACTCCGATCTCTCAACCAAACACTTGCTCGACTCACAAACCTCGTCTAAACAAGCACAACCGTCCGCCAACATGGGAGCCATAATCTCTCTTCCTTTCACAATTCTTAACCTCCTCCTGCCATTCACGCGATCTGGCACACCTCTGTCGCAAGATCTCTTACATACAGCAGTCCTCTGCGGCACATTATATTTTGCCCCACAAATAGGCGAATGGTACAATGCGCAACGGCAAGCAGCAGAGGCAGGGTCAGGCCAAAGGGAAGACAATGGGGATGCGAATCGCGCAGTTGAGCCAGCCATCAGAAATCAAGAAGATGCACCAGAACAAGAACAGGGCGAGCAACTCCCCCTAGACGAACGTCTGGTCCTGCAAGACGACGGCACAGAAGCCGCGCGACCACCTCGAGCACCCACACCACCGCCTCACCAGGCCCACGTTGAAGACCTTCCTGAACTTCACCATCCTCAGCGACACAACCACGAAGAACGAGAAGTCCAACTACCCGACGATGCTTTCGCCCCGGGTCCCGCAAACCCCCCACCACAACAGAACGCGAACCGCCCACCCCCAACCCAACGAGTAGTCGGCACCAAGCAAGCCAAATCGCTTGCCCGAAAGGACCAACAGCGCGCATACAATGAGTGGCTCCGCTCCGAAGCTGAAATGCGGCGCCTACAAGAAGCCGAAGGCCGCGAGGAACGCGAGGCAGCTTCTGCAGCAGAAAAGGCTCGGCGAGCAGCCGTAGAAGAAGAAATTCGGGAAAGAGCGAGGCAAGAACGGGAGGAACGAAAAGCAGAGGAGAAGAGGGAGGCCGAGCTGGAGGCTGCGAGAAGGGAACGGGTAGTTGCATTTGTGAGAGAGAAGATGAGGCAGAAGGGCGCCGTGGATCTTGTGGATGCGGCGTGGAATGAGGGCAAGGACAGGCTCTGGGTTGAAAGATTGATCAAAGCAAGCGGGCTTATGCAGCAACTGCAGAAGGAAGGGGGGCATGTCATGATTACAGGGCAAGATTGGCTTGTCAGGATCGATGGCGATATCATGGAGAGAGCGTATGCGGAGGCCGAGCAACTTGGGGAGAAAAGTGGCGGTAAAGTCAGCTTCGAAGAGTTTGGAGGGATAGTAGAGAGGGCGGTCTTGGGCGGGGCGGCCGCTTAGACATGTACCTAACGTTGAGCACGATATACACGTAGTAAGTGTAGACATAAGATACCCATAGATGATTTTGAATAATACACTCGAGTCTATCAACATGGCATGCACGGCGGGCGCCATGGCGCTGCCAATGGAGTGAATCTTCGCTGCTGTCGAGTCGCCTTCCAACAGCGAATCTGGTCTCTTCCAGCCAGTCTGTGACCATCAACATCACCTCGCACGCAACAACGGCTCATCTGAACGTGGTATCGTATTGTCCATTTTTGTCATGCAACCATGAAAGAGGTCTTATTCGCCTAGGAAAGCCATGCCATGCCATGCATAAGATCCCTCATCCCGTCCGATCAAAATACGACCAGAACAGCCATTCGAAAGAACTCCTCCCAGAGACACCATGCACACCCATACAAAGAACGCACGCCTTTATCGGTTGGACTTGGCGACACGCTCGAGCTCATCCTTCTTCTTGATGGCGTACGAGTTGCTGCTTCCCTTGGCAGCGTTGATCAGCTCCTCAGCAAGGCACTCGGCAATGCTCTTGACGTTGCGGAAAGAGGCCTCACGGGCACCGATGGTGAGGAGGGAGATACCCTGGTTGACACGGCGGAGGGGAGAAACATCGACGGCCTGGCGACGGACGGTACCGGCGGAACCGATACGGGTGGAGTCTTCACGGGGACCGCAGTTGACGATGGCATCGACGGCGACCTGGATGGGGTTCTGGTCGGTCATGATGTGGATCTACGATTGTCAGCCATCTCCTTGGGGGCATTGCATGCCACTTTCGCTATTCGAAAATCTGGCGGGTCATAGACGTACGATCTCGAAAGCGTGAGCAACGATACGGACAGCCATGAGCTTCTTTCCGTTGTTGCGGCCGTTCATCATGAGCGAGTTGGTGAGACGCTCAATGATGGGGCACTGGGCCTTCCTGAACCGCTTGACGGCATATCGGCCGGCGGAGTGTGAGATGTAGACAGGTGAGCGGATCTGGATGTAGTCGCTGCGGCTTCAGTTAGCCGAAGGTCTCGCAGCGCAATACAAAGTATCCAATGCCACCATTGTCCCTTTATATAGGTATGCGGCGCGATATCGTGGGGGAAACGTACGTCAATGAGATGTCGCGGACCTCGACCTCCTCGTAGGACCACTGCGAGCTGTTAGTTTTGTGCGTGTGAGCGGAAATCGCAATGCGCCTGCCTTGTTGAACAGCTTAACGCTGCCCTGCTCGTCGGTGACATCCTTGGGAAGGATGTTGATACCGGTGGGGTTCTCGACCTCGATTTCTCCGTTGTCAGACATGATTGCGGTTGTCGGTGTGGGAGGGAGAGAGAGGGATGGGCGTCAAAGTTCGTAGTCGCTGTCGATGAATACTGAAGTCAGTCCTTGGACTGGTGGGCATCGAATTTCGAGCTCGCTTGGTCCGCCAATGGTGCGCTAGTGGGGCTTGGCAGCATTGCACGCGTGCCGACCATCTCCTCCTCCACAGCTCCCGGTGCAAGGAACATCACTCTTTAGATTCATTGTCATGTTCAGGCCGTGCAGGAATATGCTCACAATCAAGTTGACAGTTCTCGCCGCCACAACGTCTGCATACTTTCCACAACCAGTACATTAAAAACCTTGAATGCTAAGAGCGGAAGATGACCATACTGAATTACAATGTCATAAGAACTAGCAAAAAGCACAACTGTGGTATATAACGCAGTCACTGCTCGTCCGAAGTCAACCGTGCATGAATGCAACCCAGACGCCAGGTAAAATTCAAAATGCAGCAAGAGCCTCCAACGCCATGCAATGCCGCTAAGCGCAAGGTAAAGTCGCAACAGGGAAAATCAATGGTATCACGACTCTCGCGGCGCTCTCGTCAGCATAGCAGCCACCAGTCACTCTCTGAAACCTCCACTCTGGATTGCTCATCTCAGCTTCCGCGATACACTGCGGACGCGGGTCACAGGTGCGCTGATGTCTCTACGATCCTTCGCGCCCTCGACCATCTGCTTCATTGGCGTTCCATGACCAGCGGCCATGCTTCTAGCACGTCCCCTGCGTTCACGAATGGCTGCGAGGGCGGCTTCACGGTCGATGCCTAGCTTGTTGAGTGACAGTTCACCTAAGACAGGTGTCTGTGTATTAGCCGCAGCATGTGCGACGGTCGAAGGAGTCATAGGCCCTCGGCCCGGCTTGAATGCTGGAGTGGCAGGAGAGAAGTGAAGAGGGATGGTGGTGGTGGTGGTGATTGTGCGAGTAAGATAGGGTGTTGCTGGACCGGTAGGCTCCCGGTCTGGCGTCGGCGGTGACATGTCCTCATCTTCACTGTCATCCACGGCGTCTTCATGGATACTGATGTCTACAGCCTTGCTCTCCCTACGAGCAGGAAGGACAAAGTCTACCCTAGACGCTGGACGAGACTGTGGTAGAGACACTTCAGTAGGAATGACTGAGTTGCGCATGTGTGCCACCGATGGAGGTGCATCAATCATCTCCATCGTAGGCGATGGTTCTGCAGGTGTTGCCAAGTCTGTTGATGGGCGTGACTTCATCGGGGAGGGGACAGAGCGGAAGGTTCCTGTGTCAGGAGAGAAGGCGACAACGGTCTCTGGTTCCTCGGCCTCTGTCTTGACTGCGACGTCCTCTGGCGGTGTGATGGGTCGCTCGTTTTCAACAGACTCTTGCTTGATCGCTACGTCTTCCATGACCTCGTCTCCGTGGTTGCTAGGCGGAGGTGTGGAGATGGGTAGCGAGACCTTGATGCGCTGCATCTCATCTTCCAGAGAATTATCGTGGATGTATTGCTTTCCACTGTTCTCAGCAATGCGGCAAGAACAGCATTGGAACTGGCATTCCATCTTCATGAAGTCAATCTGTTCCTCCGCGCGCTCTCGGGCACGCCTCTCTGCTGCCAGCTCCTGCTGAACAAAGCGCAGATCAATTGCGTTCTTCTTTGGAGACACGTTTTCCTTATCGTCATCTTCACGCGAGAGGTTGCGTGGCTTGCGTGGTGATCGAACGGGTGATGCGAATTCGTCGGTCTCTTCTGCGTCGGCGGATGGGAGTGGGATTTGGCCTTCGGCAGCGATGCGCAAGACTTCCTCCTCTTTTAAGCTTGTCTTAAGAGCATCGCGTTCTCCTTCTACCAAGCCTAGCTTCTCTCTGAGTGTCTGCACTTCTTCGTTCAGTCGGTTGGAGACAGTCTCGATCTCAAGTTGCAGGTTGTACACGTCGTTCTTGTACTTGGCAGCTTCGTCGGTCTTGAACTTGACATCCGACTCGGCCCGCTGCAAGCTACGCTGAAGCCCCTGCATCTTAGACTGGAGCTGTGGTATCATGGCAGAAGTCCGTAGCTTCTCGTTGTTGGCTTCCATGAAGTCCTTCTTGGCGTGACGATATTTGCCTTCATAAACTTGGCTACGGCGCTCAGCTTCCACCTGGAACCCATTAGTAGCTGACATGGAGACACAAAAGTATGATAGACTTACCGCTCTGGCTCGATCACCCCTCCACTTCTCTTCATTTTCCTTGAAAATCTTCTCCCATTTCTTGATGGCAGCCTTGCTCGCCTCGCGCTCCTTCTCGTATCGTTCCTTGGTGATAGCCTCGCCGAGAGATCCACTCGCGTGTTCGAGTTCGTTCTTCAGCTCGTCGATGCGGATGTCGCGTCGGCTCATAGCCATTTCCTGTTCTCGTTCCTTCTTGGCATGTTCTTTTTCAATCTTGTTCAACTTCTCGGCATGTCGTATTCTCTCCTTGTCGAGGAGTTCTTTGAACCGCTTGCATGCTTCTCTTGGGTCCTTAACCTCGAGGTTCTCGAACATGCCGGTAAGTGCTGTAACGGAGACATCGGAGTCGGTCCGGCGGTGTGTGTGTCGTAGCGGCGAGTGAGGACGGAGGTTTGGCGTAGATGGCGCCAGGACCGGGGACGATCCTCTGGAGTCGCCAAAGGGAGATCTTGAGCCTGCACCTCGGTCGGGGCTGGCGGGAAAGATGGGCATCCCAGGCGAGAAGGGAGCCTTGTTGGGCGAGAGGGGAGGAGGGGGATCCATTGGGACCGGGGATTCTTTGAGGCGCGCCAACTTGACGGTTGGGGAGGGTTATGTATGTTGTCGAGGGGTAGCACTTGCTATGAGTCTGGTTTGGACTTTGGTAGTCTAAGGAAGTTGTGCAGCACGTCTATGTAATGTGCGATGGTGCGAGCTCAGACGATAAATGTAAATAGCGCTAGCCAACAACGCGACGCCACTTCCCTGCACCATGGCAACCCGCACGGACCCATCTGATCCGCGAACCCCACGTCATATTGTTTGACCGTTTCGACAAGCTGGGGGTGGCCCCTGTGATGTAAAAACGGTCAAATGCTACATGTGAGGAGGCGCGTTTTACTGGCAACGCGAGACGTTATTTCGGAGGCAGTCACTTTGCTATATCCTACAACACGTGCATCTCACCTACAATGTACACAAACTGACCGTCTTCGTGAAATACAATCGGGAAAGCGAGTGTGAGTGTATTGAGTAGGCTTCCTTAAGACCATGACAAACCCCGTCAACCATAACATTACCTCGATAGCAATATGGAAAACAAATGAAACACCGCGAACGCTCTTCTCCTACACCTATTGCAGCTCCTGCCGTCGCTCCCCATCTTCGTGTTAGATGCTCATGTAAGCAACTCCGTTTGGTGCTATGCCATATTCTCCCGTCGATTGAGCAGGCGTAGCAACCACATCCGGGGTTGTGGGTAATGGCACGGCGCTAGTGATCATGGTACCAGGTGTAGCTGAAGAACCTGAAGTGAAGTTAGCATACAAGCTATTCTGGACGAAAGCAACCAGATCACACACTGGGTAGCACAGCGCTAGTTGGAGATGGTGTCTGTGCAGCGTTGGATGAAGTGTGCTGAATATTCATGGTTCCTAGTACCGACGAAAGAGGCGAGCTGGGAGCGTAGACTTCTACTGTAGAGCTTCCCGCCGGAGTAGAAGTTGCAAGGTAAACGGCAAAGTCTGTGCGATGTCAGATGTGCTGGGTCATATCTATGCCTGGTGCATGGGTTGACGAACCCAATGTATTGGAGATGTAGATACTGCTTTTCATTGCATAAGTCGTGGCGTTACTATGCGGCATGTACCCTGTTCCATGAACCGGTGATCTAGTATATCCTATCGAGAATGGAATGTAGGCTGTTGGTGTCGTACCTGTTGCATACGTATTGTACGATACTTGTGCTCCTTGGAGAGTGAGCGAAGCAGTAGGATAGGGCGCTACCGATACAGTCGCATAGTTGGAGGGATACGGTATAGGGGTGTCTGCAGAGACGTCAGTCAGTCATCCATATACAAAGGAAGCTTGTCACGAAGATCGGGAAGAGCAATGAACGAGACGACAGTCATACTGAAAGTGCTTGAAACGGCAGGGCCATGTCCCCCAACATGGGATACAATGATGCTTGTAATAGGTGTTGTAGAAGAATACCCTGATATAGCCGGGATCTCTGAAGGTGGTACGGTCGGTTCAGTGGGGCGAATCATGGTACTGCCCAACACGATCGGGCTCGGCAAAGGGTTTGTAGGATAGCCTGTCATCATGTTAGCTATCGAAAGTTGACGTTATCATGGCTCCCTTGACCATATATCGTGCTACCATCGCTTATAGGATGATGCCCGGTTTGCAAGGCGAGTGACGCGATGCTCGAGCCAGCGACTGTCACTGTTGCAGTCGAAGAAGTGGCACACGGCGTATTCGAAGTCTCGAGACCTATAACAGATGAACTGGCCATGGTTATCGGATAAAAATATCCAGTACCATGGCTCTCTGAAGGGTAGTAGTTTTGGTCACCACCTTTGTAGGCATCTGACGCAGGGACTGAATCATGATGGCCTCTAGGAATGACGAGAGCGGATGTGAAAGCGCTGGTGAGCACAACTCCAAGGAGTGACGTCTTAGAGAACCAAAGTTCCATGGCGTAGATCGTGCTGCGGTGACTATTGGATCTGGGCTGAGTGATGGAAATGTGTTTTGATCAGAGAATGAAGGACATGCAGGAGTTGCTCGAGATTAGACTCGGACATTGAGTGCCATACATATACCTCTGTAGACTGGAGGGCGTCGAGACGCCTCATTGTACAGTCGCGCCGGAATCCGCAAACTTGTAACATTAGACCCATTCGTCCCTACACCATCCCCCTGTATGATTGGCTAGCGGAAGGATCGTTCTGTGGCAACGTTCACTCCCATAGCATCGTGAAGGAGGCGTACTTATAACCGCCCCAAATCGGGTCCGGTTGGTCACACAGGGACTGAGGCACAGGTTTGAAATTGTACTGGTGGCCCCAAACAAAGACCATGAATGCGACCATGATGGTGGCGTGTAGGAACATACTCGTTTTCGACGTAAGGGGTGATTCTGAAGTACCTTAGGTATCTGATTGGGGGTTTGGATTGAGTCAAAAGTTGTCAGGCGCCACTATTGTGCATGTAACAACTAATCTGGTCTGATGGAGCAAGATGGATTGATGCACATGAGCCTGCTCGATTGCACTTGGTTATTGCCCTTTCTGGGGTTTGAGGGGCTTTTTTGTGTCAAGCCAGGCCTCTCCAGTATCTCAGCTTCCTTCGGAACCAAGAGCATTTCTCGAATGTGTCTTGAGTCCTTCTGGGGGCAGAACATGCCATAACCAGAGGAGTCTCGCTGGAGCCAGACCTACTTACTACATGCAAGCCTCCTCTAAATGTTAGCGGCATTCAATAAAACAAGAGGAAATGTAATCTTGCTTCGATGTCAAGTCTTTTTCAAATTGCTCTTCTTTCAGCGAAGTGGTATACGTGTAGATTGCGGCGTCCTTGTGTACCTTGCTACTCTTGAACCCATGCCCGGCACTCACCGCAGCACGTCATGAGGCAAGGGAACTTGACCCATCTAGAGCAAATGATTACGCGTACTTTCTGGAGCCTGCGAACAGCCATGACAGCGTCGATGTCATTGCTGACAGTGGTAGGAGAACGTCGGATGATCTGGAAGGTGGTCGGTCACCGAAAGCTGTAGAAGAGTGGGGCCGCAGAGCCCCACACTGGCGCAAAGATGGATGGATGTATTCTGAGCGGCTCTGCCTTGCGAAGATGCAATATTCAACTTCATACCTAATTCCTCATATTCTGAGCATCAAACTTGATTTGGCAATTATTTCCTCAATTTGAACTAGATACAGTCTTGTTATAGAAATGACCACAGAAAACAGAAATATCTCGCAACTTCTACAGATTGCAATCTAGTCTGCATGGTTTCGCAGTCCGTCGCTGAACAAACAACAAGATACATGATAATCCGAAAACTCCATGCGCGCAACGCTCGCTCGAAGGTGACTATTAGTGATAATGACAATCTGCTGATGATGGGCTGGAACATGCTGTGATAACTTGAAAATAGCCGCTTGCAAGACATTGGTAACTTTTGGAAATAGCGTGAAAGAGAAAAGACGGAAGCGTCATCCGATGATGGCCGTGCCTGGATCGTACTCGTAACAAGGGTATCGAAGTAGTCTAATCGTTTTCGACCAAGGAAACTGGAGAAAATAAGGGGGCTGTGTCACATCATGGTTGTCAGACCTCCCATGGCTGTCGCTGACGGTTGACTGTGCCATAGGACCTTGGCTCGTCTTCCTCAAGAAGACTCTCCATGATGGATCCGACATCAGTGTTGGTAACTGTGATTGCATCTTCCTCGTCCAGCCTCTTCCGCATACGGTAAACCTGTACCGTAACATAAGTGACAAGCGACGTGCCGACGACGAACGCCGCACCAGCCAGAAAGATGTTTACTGGAATGGGATTACCATGGAAAGTGCCTTTCGTCAAGGCGTCAATTGCAGTCTGCGACAGATTGACCAACCCAGACGTGCAGATGATAGTTCCGTACACACGTCCAAAAGTAGCGAAACCAAAGACCTTGGTCGCGTAGTCCGACATGGCTGAGTAGTAGAGCGGACGCAGGAAGACGAACAGGATAACGTTGACATATCCGGCCCAAAGTGCACAAATGGAACCGATGATGCCGATAGCGGAGGTCATGAAGACAATGATAAGGAGGACGCCGGGCGTGCTGACGTTGTCGAGTAGAGCACCAAGGAATGGGGTAGCGATAACTCCAGCGAGGGGCAAAGCAACGTCGAAGAAATCGTTGACCTTTTCGGCTAACTTTACAGACCCAAGCATGTAGGTGTACTGTTCACGGATAGCTTTTCATGGTGTCAGCATCTGTTCTCCATCGTAGTCCAAGGAGTCTACTTACTTGCGATTTGATAATTCATACGCACCATCTGAATGACAGTCAACAGGGTGAGCAGTATGAACCAGGGCGTCAGCATCTGATCTTTGGCAGACTTGTTGTGCAAGGCACCCCAGACGCCGGAGTTTTCGAGCCTTTGCTCCGCCTTCTCCTCGCGAATCTTACGTGCTGCTTCGTTGCCGACCAGCTCGTCGAGTTTGCTCAATCGCTCCTTACGACGCGTACTACGGGCTTTTCTTCGCTTCCACATCTCGTTGTCAGGAAGCTCGTCGTCGGAAGAATGGACATCTCGCATAGCATCTTCAGCCCTCTGGATCTTCATTTCAAGCTGCGCCTCAGTTTTGTAGTTCTCGGTCGGTAAGAAGGTCAGTTGCGCGATGACGATTGCTGCCGGGACGACGAGATAGACTAGAAAGAAGGTCTGAGGCTTGAAGTTCCTGTCGCTAGCATCGTAGATAAGCCTGTAGAAGAGGAAAACTGCTGCCGATGCATCGAATGCGCCGGTGACAAGCGCGACGATGCTACCCGCATACTTGGGGAAGGCGTTAGCAATCTGGAAAGAAGGCAGGAAGACAAATGTGCCTCCGAGGGCGAGGAAGAAGTTTCCAATTGTATATCCGTCAAAATGCTCGATCTGAAAAGCGAGACTCATTAGGATACTTCCAACCGCAAGACAGAAAGAACCGAGAAGGAAGCAAAGCTTGGGCCCATAGCGATCAAGCAAGGTGCCGACTGGTAAAGCAGAAACATTTGCCGTCGTTGACGCGAGCGAAAAGAAGAAGTTCAATCGGAGATCTTGCTCGAAGCAAACTTCAACATCGGCATCCACCTCTTCGGGTGTGCACAAATTTCTGAAAACGCCTTCCTTGATAAGAATCGGCTTCAAAGCTGCAAATCCGAAGACGATACCGCTAGCGAACCAACACGCGAGAACCGTTGCGATGACCTGTGCTGCAACCGAGCGTTAGTGATTGGGAACCGATTGTGGTAGAATGCTGCCAAACTTACCAATACGTTTGCCTGTCGGCACCTTGTACGGCGTCAAGCCTCCAGGTTCCTCACCTGCCACGGGCTCATCAGGGTGCGGTATTACATCGTAACTAATAACCCTCCTCACACTCTTTCCCGGGGCGCTCAAGAAGCCAGCTCCCGATATCGCGCTCTCAAGAGAAAGCCGACGTTCCGCAGCATCCTGTCGGCTAAGCTGGCGGTCGACAGGCGGTAAGAACAAATCTACCAACGCCTCCTCGCGATCAGTGCCCTCTTGCTGTGTAACATGCTGAATCAGCGACATGGGAGGTCTGCAATTGGGCGCTCGTTGTTCAAACGCAGAGCAGAATAGGTGTCTTAGAAAGAGAATCAAAGGGGTCGTGAAGGGTTCGGCTCGTCGAGGGCGACAGAAGCTAGAAAAGCGGGAGGGCGGAGTTAAATTGATGCGCGCCCTGACACGAGACCCACGATCTAGACATAGCGATCGCGGGGGTCACATGGTCACATGCGACACGCTCTCGGCTTCATGGAGCCGTTAAACATGTTGTGTAAACGTCAGTAAACGCTCTGCAACCACGACAGTCGAGTACACTGCAGAGCGGGTACGCTGCATGTTCGCTTACTAGAGAAACGCCGCGAAACGTCTAAAATGGTCGGTGTTGTTGCGATTGATTGGTCGTGCCGCGGTACTAAGTCGGCAACGAAATCGCCGATCTCCCCATCCACTTTCCTGCAGGTTCCATGAGTTGCAACCTTGGAACCCGGCGCACAGGGTTTCGATAAGGAAAAAGCAAGTAATTCGACTTCTAAGATGTTTCACCGCAACTTCGACAGATAAATCTGTCATCACTGGCATGTCAACTCCCCAGGTTTTGCCTAACAATCGAGGCTTACCCTGAGGGCACCTAGGTATACAATACAATTCGTCTCATTGCCAACTGAAGGAAAAAAACAATTTAAATTCTCCGGGCGTATTATCGCAAGCCTTGATTTGTCGTCTATATCTATTCTTTGTGGTATACATTCGCATCGAAGTTTGTGGGAAACCGGTCCCGTCCTTCAGCATCGCTCCGTACCCAAACCGCAACGCTGGTGCCGGGACACTTGAACAGCCCGTACCCCTCGCTGTCGATCTCGACCTCGCCTTCCTCCCACCCAAGAATATCAGTCCACTTCTCACCAGCATGCATCTCGCCAACAGCCATCTTGATCTCCCCAGGACCTGCGTTACTCATCACACACGCTAGACCCGCTTTCTTGTCCCATGTTCCACGGCGCACAAATCCGATGCAGTTGGCTTCGTTGAAATAATCTTCTTGAGTTCCGTACGCGAAGAGCTTTCGTGCGAGGATAAGATCGGCGAGCTTTCCGCCGCATGAAGCGGGGGTCTCATGTGGTTCAGAGAGTCCGTAGAGGTCGCCATAGAAAGGACACGGGTAACCCTCCTGCCTCAGCAGAATGAGAGCATAGGCAAGAGGCTTGAAGAAACCCTCGATCTTGGTCTCCATGACTTGACCTGGCTGTGTATCGTGGTTTGTTACGACTGTAACAGCATCCATGGGTCGCATTTGAACGAGTGTGTTATCATAGACCTTTCTAAGGTCTCCCGACTCGGTGGTGGAGATCGACCCAAAGTTGTTCAAGAGAGGCGAGTCGTAAAGAGCGAACTCGTGGTTCATGCCTTCAAGCCAGTCGCTCATCTCTTTGACATCGCCTGACCAGAATTCACCGACCACAAAGATATCGTCTCCGCACTGTTCACGCAAGTTCTTGATCCACTCGTTGGTAAATCTCGAGCTGAAATGCTGGACAGCGTCCAACCGGAAGCCCTTCAAGCCGAGTTCTTTTGTGATCCACACTCCCCAGTTCTTTACATCTTCTTGAACCTCGGGGTGTGAGTAATCGACGTCGGCGAACATCATATAATCAGCATTGCCTTGCTCGTCGTCGACAGATTGAGACCAGCCTTTGTTATCGCCAAGAATCTTGTAGATGGCTTTCTTCTCGTTGGCTTGATCCCAGTCTGTGCCTGAGAAATGCTCCCAGTGGTATTTCATCTTGGAATACTGTTCGCCGCGGCCTGGGAAATCGAAGCCTAGCCAACCC